ACAAAAAAAATTGAAAAAATCGGTAATGATTGTTCGTTATCTTTGAATCTACAGGGCCTAGCAAAAAGTGTTGTATGCACAGCTTATAGAAAATTTTATTACCTTTTAAAAGCTTCAAACCGTTTTGGAATTGCTTTATTCGTTCTTGAGATATATATGATTAAGTGGACCCAATTTTTTTTTTTTTGCAAAAACGGTAAATTGCAAATATCTCAAAAACGGTACCATAAAATTAAAAATAACCTTGATTTTCGGAATCAGGGGGTGATTTTACATAAGAATTTCATAACGGCGTCTCTGGTAAATTTTGGCCGTCGACCAGTGTAATTAGTATAGATTAAAACGACCATGGACTTGGTCAGGCCGATTTCGTCAGTTTTAAAAATCGTGGTGAATGAAGTCAAACATGTATTGTTTCAGTTTAGGAATCGTTTGGTTAGTTAATAGTAGTTTCAAGCACATAAGTATATACATTAACCAAATACAATTGGTGCGAGAAACGCCCATTTTAAGTTAATTTATGCCAGTGGTGTCCAACAGAACTTGGACAAAGGGCTACTTTGAAACTATCGCTATAATACGCGGGCACCGCTAGCTTAACTTCAATCTTAACTGCGTTAACTCGTTTCACTCTTCTTATATTCAATGTATATATTCTACTAACTGATCCTTTTAAAATATTTATTTATTATTAAAGTTTATACAGTTAAGTTAAATTAATAACAGTGCATAATATTTTAATGAAGAACATTCATTTTATTGTAAACATATGGGAATGGTAATGGAACGATTTGAGATCGATGCGATCAGCAAAACCTTCTTCGGAGATTGATTAACAAAACGGTAAAATTTGGCACTGTATCGTTAGATATGACGTAAGTTATGTGTTTCTCGCCGTTTTCATTTGAAATATTTATTACTTTCCCTAAAAATAATCAAAAATAGTATGCAAATCGCACCGATTTCAAATCGTACGACTCGCAGCACATGCCCAATAAACTTAATATGTTGCTTGAATCTTCATATTTTCAGATAACTTCTTAAAATCTGGGTTATATATTGCACAGCTGTGCAGGCTAAAATCATGTTATTTTTGACATGCTCGTCAGTCCGTACGTTTCGGTATTTGTTTTTTATACCATTAGTTGTGAAAAAGCCTGTTCCAGAAGAGTAAACGTCCGGAAATGTTGAAGTTTTTCTTTGTCAACTGCTCTATACATACATCGATTTCGAGATTGCAAAGTTGTATTGAAATCATTTAGTTTTGCAGTCACATTAGTTAAAAATGGATTTCAGGAAAATCTTTATTTCTGTCATCAAAGCTACATATATTGAGAGCACTTTACTTTGACTCAGCCATCTTACTTCAGAGTGGTAGAATATTTATGTCACCGAGTTCACTCTGAAATTCATCAAGGCTTTGAATTGCCGATGCTTTAACGGTCATCCGCGAATCAAATTCACAATACGAACGATCGTGCTCATAACATTATCAAGGTTGAGTGTTTTTGCAAGCAGATTTTCCTTCTGTTTCACTACGTTATATATATATATCTTGCCCACGAGTACGAGTTTCCAAAGTCAGATTGACTTACAGTGCCTCCTTAGCAGAAAAATCAGAGAATACCACTCTGGTGAGCACTAATAAGTGCGGAGAGTCTGAAACCTCGGCCGACTCATCCATTTGTATGGAAACCTAGTCATATTTCTTGAAATTGCTTTTTATTTGGCCGTGAATATCGTTTGGTAGGTCATCAGATAACGAAACTTTTTTATTGCTGAGAGTACGCTATTTTTGTTTTGAAAATCCTGAAACATGGCTAGCATAGAAAGATAAGAAGTGAATGAGTTCGTGAAAATTAAAGCCTACTTATGTACCAAAAAAGCTTCCAATTGTTAAACTTTTCAATTCAATACAAAATATTCTGTTCATCTTCTTGTTTGCGGGCGCCTAAAATTTAGGTCGCGAGCTACCAGGCGCCCGCGAGCTACCGGTTGGACATTACTGATTTATGCAGTCTTGGAAAATTGGAGCGAAGTTGTTTCATTAGGCACTCCGCACATTAAGCGCCTAATCATAGTAGTAAAATCGTTTCTGTACATTACGATTCATACAGGCATTTTCTGCAAACCGTACGATTTCAAATCGGTGGGATTTGCAAAGCATTGTTGTATATTTGTAATCAAAGTATTAAATGTTTTAAATCGAAACTGTTAGAAACACATAATTTATCTTATATCCATCGGTTAAGTGCTAAAATTTTCCCTCTTTGTTATAAATATTCCGAAATAGATTTTGTAAATCGCACCAATGTGAAATCATACGATTTGCAGAACATACCTGATTGTCATGTTTTCGCATAATCATAAAAGCTGCATTAATCGAAGCGCCCAACATTGAAAGGCGCTTGCCGTTTTGAAATCGTCATTTATTTACTTTTTTTTTGTGTTGGGGAAAAAATTATTTGGAATTTCAATAGGAAATAATTGAAAATGAATGTTTTCCTGCTAAAATTCGTACAAATTGTATTAAACCACAAGCGTTATGCAATATTGCTGCAGAAATATTTGCGAAAGTGTTTAGTTGAGAAAGAACCTACTAGAACTTGAAGGGAGAACTCCCTATGTGAGGAATAAAAGAGTACTCTCCTTGACCTGATTTCGGAGCAATAAGGGAGATTTGTAGATTTTTTACTCCTTTATAACTCGTTTAGGAGTCAATAGGGACATCTCCTATGCCAGCAATTAATGAATGCTTCCTGAGGCATGATTTGGGAGCAATAAGCGAGATTTGTCGGTTTTGCACTCCTGCATTTCTCGCTTAGGAGTATAATGGGAGATCTCCTAAATTAGCAATAAAAGTATCCTCTCGGAGACATGATTTCGGAGGTATAAGCGAGATTTGTTGGTTTTTTAATCCGTTATTACTCGCTTAGGAGCAAAAAATCGATGTCTCCTAAGCGAACAATCCAGGATAATTCCATTGGATTGACAGGAGAGCTATACGCACCTTCATCAAAATAATTTTGTGTTTTTTGGAAAATGTAGTATGAAGCATGATAAAAATATAGTAAGGTAGAACCGCTGAGAGTCACTTTTAAAATTCTTGACGTTTCCAAACAATTTAATTTTTAAATTTACTCACAAAATCACACACACATTTTCATTTTCAATCTCAAGCAACAACAATTTCGAACAATTTCAATTTTTTATTTTCACTTTTATATGATTTTCAAATGTTGGCAAACTTCAAAAAAAAATCATGGCCGACAAACTGAGAGAACGGTTCTACCTTCCTATGTTTTTATCATGGTATGAAAAAAGCAAGACAGATAACTGATGTGTACCTACATACATACATACTTACATATGTATGTATTTCTTATTGAAAAATTAAAGTCAGGAAACAATCAAATAAATTGGAGAGCCAATCTTTAGAGCCGCTGGTATGTATGACAACATTTGTTTAAACTTATAAATGATTGTATTATTTAACTCAAAATATATTTCAGATTGAGGGGCCAGCATTTAAGGCGTCTAAGTTCTAGCGTTGCAATCCTGCCCCGTCCAGAAATTGTACTGGGTGCAGCCGGAAATTTTTGAAGGCGTGAACCGTTTGGTCCACTCCCAGGTGAATACAAGTCAAATAACAGGAAAGCATCAACGCCACACTTATCTTGTGGATTATATAAAAGTGTATGTATGTAAATGTTTGAATTTCTCATTACTGTTCGATATTTGTATTCTAATTTTAGTTAATGATGTATTAATTATTATCTATACTAATTATATAAAGAGAAGTCCCTTTTTTTTGTAACAGGTAATCTCGCGAACGGCTGGTCCGATTTTCATGAAATTTTGTATACAAATAGCTTTCGGTAACCACCATGTTTTAGGCTAAAAAATGTTTACTTTTTTTCGGGTAGGTGGACCAGGGACCGGTCTATTCGAAAAAATTTCATTATAGTCCGATGTGCTTAAAATTTAATACGTAAGTAGCTTTTTAGCATATATTAGCATATATGA